GCCGGTCTCAAAAAGGACAAAAAAAAAAACCTGTATTTATTGTGGCCAAGGGAGGGAGAAATGTAGAGGAACACATTTCTCTGGCAAAAACGTATCCAAAGGTAAGAAGACCCCCTTCCTTCCCTTTTTTTCTAGATATTACTACTAAAGATTTTTTGTGTTGTGTTTTCATGAATGTAGGCATAAATGGGATTCTAATATACTGGTACTGTTCCTTGGACTAGAGAAAATTATGAGCCAGACTTCAATCCTGTGAGAAGTGTTCCCCACTCCTGTAGCTGAGAGTAAGAACCTCGGTTCTAGTCATTTACCCTCTTGGGGCCTCAGTTCCCCCTCTTTAAAAATAAAAAGTTTGGATCAGGTGATTTTAAGGACCCTTTATGACTTCTTGTGACTACTTCTTAGGAGTAGAGGTTTTGGGAAAAGCAAGGTCCTGCTTTCTCTTGTTTATGTTCCCTGGAATTCTCTATTCAGTGGTTAAACATGGACAGTGAACCTACTGGTGCAGGAAGGAGAGTGCCCTGGGCCCTTCTTTGAGGGAGGCTCAGAGCAGAGCTGATTTACTTACAGCTCTTTTTTCCTCCCTCAGCTCTCCCTGCCACCCATGTTCCTGCCCCTCATCACGAAGGGAGTCCCAGAGACCAGGCGATGGCATCTGCGCTATTGACAGCAGATTCCCAGGTGAGCTATGGTCCCCTCTGCCCTTCTGAGTCCCTTCTGTCTGCCTCTCTTCCTGGAGCTTTTTTCGCAGTCTCCACACAGGCCACTTAATCTTGATGCCCCTGTCCACGGAGAAGACCCACCCCCTGTCCATGTAGTATCTTCTGCCACACACACACACCCCCACAGTCCACCAGCTCTGGTTGCATTTCTCTTCCCAGCATTCTGTAGCTTTACAGTCACCTCTGTTCCTGACTCTAGGTTTGGGCAGTGGGACTACCCCTGAGTTTGGGGGGAACTGAATGTGGGGATCTCCTATGATTTCAGGCAATGGTGAAGATTGAGGACATGGCCGTGTCGCTCATCCTGGAGGAATGGGGATGTCAGAACCTGGCTCGGAGGAATCTCAGTAGGGACAACAGGCAGGAGAATTATGGGAATGTGTTTTCACAGGGTAAGAATGATGCAGGATTGTTGTCTGATAAGATTGTTTTGTCTCTTTATTTGTTAGCTGTGGAGTCTGTGATGCATTCAGTTGAGTGTTGATAAGGATTTAGAAACTGCTGATCCCATTTCTTCTGATGAGATAGAGAGTGAAAATATTCATGTTCATTTAACTCCTAAAGCATGGTACGGCAACTCCCTGATTCCAGGTGGCTTTTTACTCTAGATAGTTTTCATTCTTTGAAATCAAAAATAAACTCTCCGCTCTGAGTCCTCATCTCTTCAACTACTCAGTTACCTAAGAGGATTCTGTTCCACTCCCCATGGGGGTAAATGCCCTTGTCGGGAATATCAACTTCGTAGCAGAGCTGGCCAGGTGAACTGATCATCAGTCTGATCCCAACCCACCATTCCTGGCACCACATTCCTGAGCCTGCCAAGGGGCTTTCTGTCTTCTTCCATCCTGTGTGAGTACTGCTTAGAGACTGCTTTGTGTAATTACACACACTTGCACCTGGACCTCCCTTATGATTAGGATTCCCAGTTTCCAAACCTGATTGTGATCTTCTGTGAGGAGCTCTGTGTCCTGGGTGTGTAGTAAGAACAAAGAAGTTCAAGAGGCATCAGCCAGATAAGACAGAGTGACCCAGTTGGCAAACATTCATGTTTATATCTGCTAAATCTTAACCCCTAGGAGACAGTGCCACAAAGAAACCCTCAAATTAGTACAGTAATGGGGAAGTCCACAGGGAAGCTGCCACCTGGGGAAGGCAAAGGGAGGGTGAAGGAAGGGTAAATGGGAAGAAAGGATATTACTGAAGAAACTTCAAGTTTTGCTTTGAACCATAGGTATAAGTGGGGTTCATAGTCCGTTTGTTCTTGCTCTTCATACTAGATAAAAATTAAGCCAAAGAACCAATCTCTGCTTATGAACTGGTGTTACCCATTTTGATAACATAAAAAAAAAAATATATTGGGAACAGTCTGGTAACTGCCAGATAGTTAAGGACCTTGTCTTG